AGAATAAACAATAAACTAAATAAATTTATTACTTTCTTAATTTATTTACAAATTTATACAAAATATTAAATATTTTTAAAATTTCAGATTCAGATAATTTGATTGCGAAAATTAGTTAGAGAAAAATTTGCACTGTATTTTATATTCTTTTCTTCCACTTTTTTTTATTACATAACGAGTGCTATTCTTTACTAACGCCTAGTAGAAAAGAACACACCTGGTGGAGTCATAATTGCTATAAAATTGAAATGACAAAATTTTACTTTGATTTGGTAACGACTGTAATTGGCTTGAATGACTTGTAATATATTATCCAACATAGTATTCTGATATTTGTAGCTTTAATGGTAAGACGTTTTTAATCATTATAATAATATGTGGTATTGACTACGCGGGGACAATATTTTCGTATGGTTATAATTTTGAATGCGTTATAATTATAATATTAGTTTATAGTATATTTTCCGTTTCAACTACTGCATATAGTACATTAATCCACTTTATTATTGTTGCTATTTATTTTTCATAAACATCCAAAACATCCTGCTTTCGACCAATAAAGCAAACATCGCGGTTCTTTTTACTCGCGGGTAACGTATATCACCTGTACCACATTTAGATGGGTAACTTTCCTCGCTTTGCTTGACAATTCATACATTAACAACAAAGCGCAGCAAAAGTTCCATGTTTTTATTCTGAAGCAGTGAAATTCCTTACATATACATGTATGTATGTTGACTTACCAAACTGTTTGGACGCAGAGCACAATCTGAATTTTTACTGTCATCACTTATACATACATATGTACAAGTATGTACATATCTAAGTTTACTAAACAAAAAGCAAAAAAAAAACGTTATCTCCGGCTGTAACAAAAGTACAATATATATATATATATATATATACATGTCACGACTCTCGCATCTTGACGGCTGATGTCATAATAATTTTAAAAATATTTAATGGCGCTATACAACACAGTAAACAAACACAAGATAAATTTGGAGAAAACGCTTTTTAATACGCTTAACAAGATGTATTAGTATGCCACGAAGTTCATAACATCTTGAAGGCGTATAAAGTACCTATAAATGTAAATGATAAGTACATATGTACACATATGTACGTATATATATATATTTATATATAGTGTACTTGTAACTCACTCTTGAGTTCGATCACTCTTATCTTTATTTCTAAATCCAACAACTTAACACTTATTGATCGTTATTCGAGCTTACCACTTCTTGTTTTTGTCTCAATTGCTCTTAACACGACAATACTCTGACTACCAAAAGATGAATATTTCCTAATTTATTGGTGGGAAATGGGCCATCTTCATAAACGCCTATTAGCTCAACTGGCGCTGCTGAATTGTACTGTTTCATCTGGCCATGACTCCTGGACCTTGATCCTTTAGCTACAATGCCCTCAGCATATTTCGCAATACTCTTCATAGCTGGTTAACGACAACCAGTCCATCAAAACCTTTACTACAATTTCTCCAAGGTTTTCGTGATTCTCAAGTGCCTTCCACTTGGACCTTGGTACTTCACGTTAAGAACTTCAGGAATTATAACCTTTAGAACAACCATAAGTACTCGGGAGGTTTGCCCATTTTCGCTTTTCCATCATGCTTCATGCATTACACTTTCCAATTCTGAATCTTCTTGCAAAGAGTCATCCGTTTCAGGTTTAATTCTATCCTGCTTTTCCACCTGTGAGGACGCGTGTGCTTCGTGCTCTCCCAACTGTGAGGACCCTTGTGCTAGTATACACGATTCCTGCTCCTTTGACTGTGAGGATCCTTTTACTGGTTCACACGCTTGCTGCTCTTCCGATTGCAAAAACACTTGTGTTGATATACGTGCATCTTTCTCTGCGAACCACTGCTTTGATAACATCTGTGATACACGTTCATTTTGCGCTGCGAACTGCTCTTTAACTGCGTTGACATCTGCGATATTACAGCCAAAACAACCTGTGTTGAACATTGAATGTCTCTTCGTTTTCTTAGATTCTTTTTGTTTCTTCCTCTAATTATAATTGAAACACATATTTGTCAACATTAACGTCTCCTGCTTCCATGGCCTCTCGTAACCGTGACTGTAAGTCGTCCTTTACTCCATTTGTTGCCAAATCACGTTGCTCCAACTCTTATTTCAGTTGTGATATCTTCAGATCATTAAACTTAGTCATTTTAAACATACATTGGGAACACGAAAAAAATGTGCAAACGTCATGTTTGTCAAAGTTTATACACAGACTCTTTTGTAACCCAAAGTGCCGTTTCACATTGGGACGCAAAAGAGTCTCATACCAGTTTATTGTGGGCGAGGGGACGACGAGGAAAGACGAAGGGACCGTGCCACTCGTGTTCGGGTGGCACGCTTTGTGTTCTTGTTCGTAACAGCTCGCTGCTACCCTTTTCAGCATTCCTTTTCACTTTCAAATTCTTTGAATAGTTGCAAGAGCGCTCGGTTTCAAATGAATATACCTATACCATTCGCTCAGAAATTTGAGTTCTGTTATCTAATTTTTGAACAAGTATGTATTACACAAATATGTATGCATAAAATAATAGAAATATTTTGAAAAATTGTAAATAAGGATACTCAAAAATATTCAATTTAAATTTTTAATAACATGTAGCGATATTAAATGTAATAATATACGAGTATACATAGAAGAATTATAATAAAAATGGTAACTTTACTTTTTTAAATTTACATGAAATATTAAGGTGCTTTCATATTTATTTCTTTTAACCGAAAGGATTTAGTTCGAATACCATTTTATTTAAAACAAGAATTGTAATTATTTTAAGTTGTTTTATAATACATAGAAAAAAATATGAAGTAAAAAAATTATGAATTTTAAATACTTAAAGATTAGGAAATTCCTGTTATAAATTTGGCCTTGAAAATATTAGTAGCGGGTATTCAATACATTCTGTTGAATTAGGGAATTCCCGACTTATGTATTTCTTTGAAACTATTAAGCTGGACCTAAGAACTTAGAAGAACGAGAAGGTGCAGGTTCGATAGCGAAAATTTGTAAAATTTTATCAAGGAGTTCACCTCACACGCAGGAGAAACAAATAACATTTCTCGCTTTTATAACAGCGGTGAATCTGTACACATACGCTCTCTTAACATAACCAACCGGCGAATATTGAAGAGAATATAATATGTATGCCAAATATATTCCCTTTTTATACTCTCGCAACCTGTTGCTACAGAGTATAATAGTTTTGTTCACCTAACGGTTGTTTGTATCACCTATAACTAATCGAGTTAGATATAGGGTTATATATATATAAATGATCAGGATGAAGAGACGAGTTGAAATCCGGGTGACTGTCTGTCCGTCCGTCCGTCCGTGCAAGCTCTAACTTGAGTAAAAATTGAGATATCTTTATGAAACTTGGTAGATATGTTTCTTGGTACCGTGAGACAGTTGGTATTGCAGATGGGCGTAATCGGACCACTGCCACGTCCACAAATCGCCATTAATCAAAAACAAATAAATTGGTATAACTAAGCTTCCCAATAAGATACAATACTGTTATTTGGTACACAGGATCACATTAGGTGGGGGCATCTGCAGTTAAAATTTTTTTTTTTAAGTGGGCGTGGTCCCGCCTCTAATAAGTTTAATGTGCATATCCCCTAAACCGCTAATGCTATAGTAACAAAATTCACTAGAAGCAAATGTTTTTGGCACTTCTATTGACGGTGTGAAAATAGTTGAAATCGGGTGGCAACTCCGCCCACTCCCCATATAACGGTACTGTTAAAAACTACTAAAAGCGCGATAAATCAAGCACTAAACACGCCAGAGACATTAAATTTTATCTCTGAGATGGTATAAATTGGCTTTATAGGAACCGCGTTCAAAATTAGTCAGTGGGCGTGGCCAAGCCCACTTTTAGGTGAAAACCCATATCTTGAGATTTCAACCAAATTCGGTGCATAACGTTCTTTTAATGTTTTTATGTCATAGTGCGAAAATGGGCGAAATCGGACTACAACCACGCTTACTTGCCTTGTAACACCATTTTCAATTCCATCTGATTCTTTCACTTTCCACTATGCAAATCAAGTAACAATGATTATATCGGGGTAAAACTTTGCGTGAATAATGCAATTAAAGTATGCCACCTTGCCTATAGTTGACCTTCTACCGAAAATATCAGTCAATCCACAAAGAAATCTCAAACGAGTATACCATTTGACTTTGCGAGAGTATAAAATGTTGGGTTACATCCGAACTTAGCCCTTCCTTACTTGTTTGAACTATTATTTATTATTTTTTAAATTATTTTATGTTAATTCATTTATACTTTATTATGAGAAATATATCAAAATACTCCATTATGGATGGCGTTCGTTTATTTTTCGGCACATCTCGGATTTTCTACCAACAACACAATATTGTGACGCTTTGTCGTCGCGCCAGTCCTTCGATAGATTGACTCTTTGACATTAAAGCAAAAAACGTGAGCTTCGATCATTAGTTGACCGTGTGAACGGAGATATCACACGAAGTAATGAGTGTTCATATCTACATACATATGTTGTTTGTACACATGATATGAAAATGCCGACGGCAAAACACAATTCTGTACTTTTATGACTCCATAATGACGTCCATTTACGTTCTCTGGTTGAACGTTGAGTTGAGCTACTTAAGAGCGTGTTTCTTCTAACGAAAATGTTTTTTAATCCATAATGCCAAATAACCTTTTTTATGTGTTTCTCATGAATGTCTTGTTTACATATTATGATTTTGTGTGATTTACAATATATTCGTATTCAGTTAACACTTAAAAATCGCATTTCATTGGCTGTAATATTTGAATAATATTATGTTTGAATTATAAAAACAAAGCAAAACAACTGACTACACTATTTTCTGTTTCTTTTAACTTGTTTATTTCTCAAAACAGCTTACAGTTCTTTTTACCTCATAAAAAATACAAAAAACAATAAATATCTTACAACTTCTATAAATTATAATTGTAAATTAAAAAGGAAATATTTGATAAATTTTAAATAGCTCGTAGTTGTTTTGGTAGCACTTCTACTTTATAGGTCTTGGCCGCACTTGCACTTGCATGCAACCCTCATAATCCACGCAATTGGATTGTATTTATTAAAATTTGCGGCTTTTGTTTTGATTTCGATTTGTTTATACATTCGGTGTTAATTTGCATTCAGACAGTTTTGCAATCATGAACACCAAGAAGGACATTTTATACGAAGTAAATCGAAACCAAAAACGCAAATCAAATATCTACAATACGGAAAAAGAAAAAACTGAGGATACTGTTGTCAATGGTGGTAGTCCAATGGAAACATTTCAACAACAGGTATAACCGCATAAATTTCAATGCTTGATTTCCGGTTAGTTTATGTATCAAATATAACAGGCATTAGAAATACGTGAGCCTGGACCAGATTTCGATCCGACGGTAGTACCAAAGGATGGCGATGAATATCTCATGCATATGCTGTATGAACGCAAAAACTGCCCAGCTGTAATGGTGCGGGAGCCGAACAAGTGTAAAAAAAATAGAACTGCCGCTGCTTTGGCAGAGAATTTTAAAGATGAAGACGTAAGTACACTACCTTAAATTGCCATGTATTTAATGAAGTTAACAATATACAATATATGTACACTTAAAGGAGCCGTTGAAATCAATCGCATATAACGGAATACTGCCTACAAAAGAGTGGAAGGACTATCAGATTAAAGATTTTGAAGCTACGCGCGAAAAAATTGTGTTTCTACGTTTGGAATTACACAGACAACGATATGATCAAACGCTGGAGCCTCCATTAATAGCAGATCCAGTTGCATGGCATACATTTTGTCACGACAATCCACCATATTTAAAAACAATATTGCGCTTCAGTCAGCGCACTTTAGAGCAACTTTTGGAATTCATTTGCGACTGGCTGCGTGCTGGTGAAGAGAAAGTAGTTTTGGAAAACATTTCTACAGAGAACGATGCAATTCCTTCGACTTCAACTGCCGGCTGCAATGAATATATGAAACCGGCCATATTAGACCTCACAGATACAAATGCATGGTTAGGTACGTGGTTATATGCTGCCTTAACCTGCCTACATATACCCATTGAACCAGAGGTGCATAGCACATTGCGCGACATAGCACGTGTTTGCATACGATTGCGGGGGCGTTTACCAGGCACAGCAACGGGTAAAGCTGTGCCATACAATTTATTCATACTATTGATTGCAAAGGCATTTGGACAAATGGACTTTGCCGAATTCGTTTGATGAGCCACGCACCATGTGATGAATTCCATAAGCATGTACAATATATTTTACTAAACGTTATAGACAAATAGAAAAAAAAGTTGATGCATTAAATAACTAAAAAATTGCAAATATCACATCATTCAAAATCTGGAACGCAGTTTTTATATAAGTAAATAAAAAAAACATCTCTAACATCATAACATTAGTTTGTGTTTAGTAGTTTTTTGCATGTATATTTGTATATTTGCTAGAGAACACTTTTCGGTACGATTGGCAGATCTCACATCGACGCAGGTGGTCATCCGGCGCAGATATCGAGGAAACTGTGCAAACAGAGTGAGAATGCTGCGAGGGACTACTCACACGCGTAGCTTGACTGAGATTGTACGAACTATTACTGAAATTACTAAAAAGGAAGATGTATAAATAGTTATGCTAATGGAGAAAAAATATATTTCACCTGGAGCCAGTTGAAAGGCGGCGTTCGCCGTTTTGGCCTGACACTGCGTCCATGTCGTATGACTTTGGTGCATTAGAGCAAAGAAAAGCACAACTTTTCTTTGAAAATCTTTTGAGCAAAACGTAGTTTAATGCATGTAAGGATAAATATAAAACTACAAAGTGAAAATACACACCCATTGCCACAATTTGTTTTCACGTGGCAAACTGGTCGCTGACGTCGTTTCTCTTCCAAATAGTTAAAACAACTATTTGTAGGAGTTAATGACAGCTGGGTGTGTCTGTTTGACGTGTTTTTGGCTTCAAACTCCAATTTCTTCAAAGATATATTATTGCCAGACTGCTGTACAAAATATTCATTTTCCTTAGTGTGCTGTGGATGGTCCTGCACACCTATTCGCGCGCTTAACTCCACTTTAGGTGCAATAATTCCCTTGAAGACACAGTGGCACATTTTTGGATATGAATTAAAGTAATAAACAAGTTTTTTTAATTACCGGAAATGCTGGTGTGGCCTTCATCAGGAGTTGTATATTGATATTGTGCTCACAGGACAATTTAGGTACATCTGATTGCATTACATCGGCCAGTTTGCCCATAAAGAACGCCATGCGCCGTCCGTTCTGCCAAAGTGTTATCTCCATTTGCTCCGCGGCTAACACGCGGTCTAAGTCACTAATTGAGCCGACAGACTTAAAATAACCATCCATAGTGAATTTGTCATGGCAGAGCAGGGGGAAACGTGGCTCCATTGCACCGGTACGAAAAAAGTAGCCCAATGTTTTGATAGTAACCTCCAAATAACCATGTGTACAAAGCCAAACCCCGGGACAAGTCACCTAAAGTAACGGTAAAAGTGAATTCCAAATTGTTAATATATACTGCTTAAAAATAATTGAATGCATTTCTTCACGACTTTTATAATAGTAAATTACTTACCGCATGTAACTGAAATTCTATTTTAACTAACAAACGTTTCGGATAGATTTTCCACATAATTAGAAACAATTAAAGAATAAATTAATATAAAATATAATTGTTCTTTTCTGCTTAGTGTTATACTGGGCGCCCTTGAAAATAAGTGCTTGTATAGAAAGTGGGGACAGTTGTTTCGGTTTGTTTTCGTTGACAACAAAATGTTGTGGAGTTGGGGCCGCACCCCCTTTGAACTACTTTTAGACGCAAGCAAATGTTTTATTTATTGTTTTGCCGGTGAATTTGAAAAGAATGTGCCGCTCGTCGCTTACCAGCGGTTGCCAACGGTATTTTCTCGGTTAGAATTCAGCTGTTTCCGCTGGAATGCCGAGATGTACAAACGCATGCTCAAGCATAATTACCTTCATAAGTAGCACTTAAATTACAAAATATTTACATATGTATTCAATTTTTTAATGCCAAGCGGATACCAATAAATATCATCCCTAAGACCACAAATAATTCATTGGAAAATGTCATTAATACAAGTCAGTAGGTGTTTTGCTTAAGGTGCATTTGTGAATTATTTCTTTAGCTTTAACCTTTTTCCATATAATGAAATAAATTAGTTAAATCCACAACCTTAAATATGTTACATAACTTTCTAAATTTGATTTTCTATACACTTGAACAGAATTTACAGATTCATAAAGCAATAGAGCTTCACTCAAAGAATTTCAAAACATTAAGATAACACATTGGATATGTAACACTTTTCACGAAATCTGAATATGAACAACCAGTAGAAAACCACAATCACTAAAAGATATGCTTTACCTATCGCACTTACTCATCCGTCAGCGCACCAGCTGCTACAATTATCAACTGCAACTAACCACTTCATGTTAAAACTAAAAGTTATATACTTATATGTTAATAGGAAGAACCAAAAGACTTGCCAAAGGTGATTGAGCTCACACCGTGGCGCTCCGTTCTTGGCACAGAAACTTGGTGTAACACAATAAGATCCCCAATAGCACATCCAACCAAATTCAGTACCTTACTGCGGCCCGACTGGTCAACGATTTAGGGGTGGACAAAGTAAATAGCTCACACATTTGTATATGTGTGACTAACTTCAGCATATCAAGTCCAGCATAAGTTATGCTAGCGTGGGGAGTCATGCGTCAAGCATTTGTAGCTACAAAGCTGAAATTCTCTTACGAGGGCTGCTATATATATTTCTGGCCTAGGCAACACTAAGTGTTGCCAGGTGCAATCTGACATTTCCATTGGAAAGTTTGACATTTTTTAGCATAACATCACTCAGAACGTTTTGAATTCATCTCGGCCAAAAAATGGAATTAACTCGTGAACATTTTCGTGCAATCATTTTTCACAACTTTCGACGTGGATTATCACGACAAGAGTGCATCGATGAACTAAAATCTTTGTATGGCTATGAAGCACCATCCTATAGCACTGTGAAAAACTGGTACAACGAATTCAATCGTGGCCGACGCTCGCTCAAAGACGAATTCCGTGAAGTTCGTCCAAAAACAGCCCTTGTGCCAGAAATCATCGATGCCGTACGTGAACTGATAATGCAAGACCCTCATGTAACATACCTTCCGATAGAGGCATGCCTATGCATTTCTCCCACCAGCATACATTCGATATTGCATGAACACCTGGTCGGATCTCGTTGGATCCCGCACAATTTGACAATCGCTCAAAAAAAGGCTCGTGTGGATTGGTGTAAAGAAATGCTGAAAAAATACGATCGCGGTGCTTCAAAAGACGTTTATAAGATCGTCACAGATGACGAATCATGGATCTATGCGTATGAGCCCGAAACAAAGCAGCAATCGACCTTGTGGGTCTTCCAAGACGAGCCAAATTTAACGAAAGTTGTTCGTGGAAGAAGCACTTCGAAGCAAATGGTCGCCTGTTTCTTCGGCAAAACTGGTCATGTGGCGACTGTTCCGCTTGAGCAACGTAGGACGGCCAATTCTGAGTGGTACACCACCATTTGTTTGCCTGAAGTCTTCGGAGAAATTCGAAAAACGAACAAGAGAAGACGAATCATTGTGCACCATGACAATGCGAGCTCTCACACATCGGCTCAAACCAGCGCCTTTTTGACCGGCCAAAAGGTCGAATTGATGAGTCATCCGCCGTACAGCCCTGACTTGGCACCCAATGACTTCTTTTTATTCCCACACATCAAGAAAATAATGCGTGGTCTACGATTTTCGTCGCCAGAAGATGCTGTTGAAGCATTCAAAAACCATGTTTTGGAGGTGTCTCAATCGGGGTGGAAAAAGTGCTTCGAGAATTGTTTTGAGCGCATGCAAAAGTGTATAAATCTTGATGGAGAATATTTTGAAAAACAATAAAACCATTTTCGTTGATAAATATTCGTATTTTCATTATTAGGCTAGAAATATATATAATATAGCAGCCCTCGTAAAAGAGTATAATAAATGAAAGCCATAATTTGGCGTTTTCACAATTAAATGGCAATGTAATACATACATATGTATGTAGTTTTTTTTTTATTGTAATTTAAGGGGATAGGTAGGGTAGGGTTAGGGGTAGTCAGAATTTTCAAACAATAAAAAACGTTAACTTCGGTTGCACCGAAGCTAAATTACACTTTCCATATACAAATGGTTCCTTAGAAGAACTTGACTTGACTTGACAATCAACCCTCCTTCCAGAACTGAAGCGGTGGACTATGAACTACCTGTGCGGTCGGCATTCATCCGTACTTCTTCGAGGTCAAAACTCCAAACTTAGAAGAATTAAACAGGGGGTTTCGCAGGCGGTGTCCTCTCCCCACTACTGCTTAATATCTACATCTCGAAACTCCCCCAACCACCAGCGGGAATTTCCCTGATCTCGTACGCTGATGACTGCATGATATTGACGTCGGGCAATGGAATCGATGACATGTGCTCTAAAGTAAACAGTTACCTCTCCGACCTTTCTCGCTTCTTTTTTGCAAGGAGTCTGACACTCTCTGATACTATCCACCTCTTTGCATGCCCAACAAACGCAACTCATCTAACACACTTTTCCCTATGGTCCGACCCCGTCGAAACAACTTGTTTCTTGGGCCTCCCGTTAGATGACCTCGACGACAACCAAACTATGACTTACCATCCAAGCGATGACTAGAAAACCGTCAAAACAACAATAGAAGAACTTGATGGATCTTCTGGATGTTACAAGCTTCGTGGCAACCTTTATAGACCCTGTTCTAGGTATAAAAATTTGAATGTATAATATTTTAGCAATGTTCTCTACAAATTTGAAATAAATCTGACAAACATTTTTGAGTTATTCGATAATTAGCAAAGGGTTCTGGAGTGTAAAACTTTAAATGCGCTTATCTCGAAACTATGTTTGTTATGCTTCGATCGGGTACTAGAATATCAATTACTAAAACTATTTTTTTTTTTGCCCAATTTATTATAGGTGAATTTCCAATGATTAGAGATCGTCACCGCAAGAAGCTTTGGTTGAAATGGATCAACACAAGCAGTTATTACTTTAAAATTTTTATGATTCAATGATGCTGTGTTTTTACTTTTATAAAATAATTATAGACAAAATAAATTATTTAAAATTGTAATTTATTCATGTCTCTGACTACACCTAACCCGATTATTTATCTGCTGTATATAGTACTTGTAAGAATTTACTTAAACAAAAAAAATTTTTTTTGCGATAAAATGAGCTTTAAAAGCTCCTTTATTAAATCGTGCTTTCCTTTGACACTTAAGTAATTTCTTCGAGTTTTATAGCATATGTTTATATTTACTTAGTTAGTAGTTCTCCAGGATAATATCATTTATATAATTAATTTTTTAAATATTTATTAGTACACATGTCTGACTTTTTAATAAAAAATAATATTCTATAATTACTACATCATCTCTTACAAACTATGTATAAATTGTGCACAGTACGTACACTGGAAAAAGTTGTCATAATTTGTTTACATGGCGTATGGGTCAAGCATAGCCATTAAACATATTTAACTAATTATGTATACATACTTACTTAGAGTTAGTAGAGTGTTTCATATGTTAATTTGCAATGGTGGAACTATATGAACTCAGCAGCCATGAATAATGCCGATTCCTTCAAGTGTACGCCATACAGACGCACTCTTAAACACAGCCTTTGAATCCCGAATTAACATATTACAACTGCATAACGTCCCATTCTTCGTCCAAATAATGTAGTATAGGTTTATCATGTAAACGATCGCCAAAGACTTCACGCAACACTTGTAATACTCTTTCTTGAATAACTCCCACTTGATGTTTGGGACAGTAGTCATCTTCGGCAGAGCATGCCATTGTTATAAGCACCGGTGGAGAGGGTAAATTTTGTAATAAACATTTAAATTGTCCAATATATTGTTCTAATTCTTTGGATGTGCTGATGTGATGTGGTAATCCATTTGTATCGGTGGTACTACCCGAATCATATATAAGCAGCCAGTCTATCTCATCGTCTGCATAATGTTTCTGTAGCGATTTGGCTAGATTCTCAATGCGTGCATAAGTCTCTGGCGCAATAATGTTCGGATCGGGTGCCGGTGTTAGACCGTCCAATGTTCTTGTTTCTTCCAAATGTTCAAATATTTTTTTAAGTGCTTCCAATTGTAATTTGCGTCGCTCAGTTGTACCACCACAGTCTTTAACTTCTGGTTCAAAGTGAAAGATATCGGTAAGTTGTTTATAACAATTTGCATCTTTATAAATTTCTAAAAATGGATTTGAAGTACTAAAGAAATCCAAATCAATGTCTAAGACAAAATTTGGTCCATCCGCCTCTTTAATGAACTGTGCGGTGTCAATCGGTGCACTATCACTTGATGTATCTACATTAATTACTTGTAGTTCCATATTGCGTGTATCCATCAATTCTTTTGTATCACAATAGTTACCTTCAGATATAAAATAATCAAGCGGGCAATCGACACTAATTTTATCATTTTTATGGCCAATCTGAAAGTTATATTTGCCTATAGGAATTTGTTGGCACCAAGAATTTTTCAACCAAATTACTCTATTAAAATGTCCTAAAAAAAATTGTTAATTTGGCATTTCATCATTTTGAAAAATAACTATAATTTTGATTTTACCTGCATAACAAGCTGGCATAATCCAATTTTCAATGCTAAGTTCGGCCAACATCGTTTCCTTGTCAAAAGAAGCACTAGCGGGAATTTCTCGTGATATAACCATATCAGGATGAGAATCAAAATGTATCAGTATATTATTCTCTAGTGGCAAGTGTCGTGTAGCCAAACAACGAAATATAAATTCCAACACATCATTGTGATAGTCCGCAATAAAAATAGGAATGCGTTGGAATTTGCGCGGCAGTGCATTCTTCAATTCTTCTGCATCCAAAGTAAAATCTTTTGGCTTTAACGCAATTATATCTGACACGGTTCCGGCTATCGATGTGGTGGAAACATTCCCCAGACCACTTTCATCATCTAAATCAGATTTGGGCCGCTTTGTTGGCGGTTGTTCCTCAGTTCTCGCCTCATTTTCAGTCGTTTCTTTTAAAGTATTGACCGTATCAATCTTTTTCGGTGACACGCTTTCACTTACCGCCGATGATGATTCTTCAAGTTCATCACTAGCCCCTATTACTCCCTTTGGTGGTATCTCCAACGTGGACGAGGCACTATGTTGATTTGAATCTCCGTCCATTTTCAATTAAAATATTTTAATTTACTTGCCAAGCGAAAATTTTGTAAAATCACTACTTTGTTTTCTTTTGGTAAACTAGTATGCACAATGCTTTGAACTTCTTTTTCTTTGACTACTCTTTCAATATGAAAGTGACAAATTTCGGCGAAAATCCGCAATCTTGCTTCTTCTTCTTATACAAAAAGCCATTCACAACTCTAATGCAACATTTAAAAAACTTTTAAGAGACTATTAACTCACTTCATTGCAATAATGAACTGCAACTGCTACACATTCAATATAAAAGGTGATCCAAATAGAAGTACCTTATTCAATAGCCTCTGTTTGACAGATCAATCGTGAGTCGTGTCAAGCTGGTATGTTATTTGCGTTCAGTATGGTTTAGCATTTCATCATGGAAAGACTTACGTATGAACAATGTTTACAAATTGTTCAACTTTATTACAAAAATTCACGTTCTGTAAAGAATGTGTTTCGCAGGCTTCGCTCAAATTATTGTCAAAATAATCGGCGTACTGAGACCCAGCATTCATTATTGGATAATATTCGACCGAATAGACCATGTCCAGTACGCAGTGAAGAAAATATAGCGGTCGTAGCTGAGAGCGTACACGAAGACCGTGGGGAGTCGATCCGGCGCTGTTCGCAGCAACTCGGACTGACGTATGGAACGATTTAGCGTATTTAACGTCGAGTCCTCAAATTAAAAGCGTACAAAATACAGCTTGTGCAGGAACTGAAGCCGCTCGACCTTCCCAAGCGACATCGCTTCGCTCTATGGGCTCTTGAAAAGTTCCAAGAAGATCCGACGTTTTCGAGCCAAATTTTGTTCAGTTATGAGAGATGAAGAGCTTCCTGAAGAGAATCAAGAGCTGTCATTTCATCCAGAAAAATTTAAAAACAACGGTTTGGTGTGGTTTGTGGGCCGATGGAATCATCGATCCATATTTCGTCAAAAATGATGCCGGTGAGAACGTCACCGTCAATGGCGACCGTTATCGCGGCATGATAACCGACTATTTGATGCCTGAAATTGAAGCTCGTGATCTCAGCTACATTTAGTTTCAACAAGACGGAGCCATTTCCCACAAATCCTATCAATGAATGGATTTATTGAGAGAACACTTCGATGAGCAAATAATTTCACGTTTTGGGCCGGTCGATTTTGATGGCCAATCGTGTTATATAACACTGTTAGACTTTTTCCTGTGGGGATATGTAAAGTCTTAAGTCTATGCGGACAATCCCGCTTCGATTCGGGCCTTGAAACAAAACATCACGCGTGTCATTCGCCAGTTACCAGTCGAAATGATCGAACGAGTCATCAAAAATTGGACTCAATGGATGGACCATCTGAGATGTACCCGCGGCCAACATTTGAAAGAGATAATCTTCAAAAAATAAATGCCAAAGAATATTTTTAAGAATGATAATAAACATTCACCATTAAACTTGAATTTTCTGTGTTTTTTCTTTAAAAAATGGGGAAGTTCGAAAGGGATCACCCTACATTATATTGACCACGATCCGAGATCGCGATATTTATTGAACGTGTAGCAAGTAATATTGATGGATTGCGTCCATATCACAAAATATTTTAATATTTTCAAATACGGATCGCGGATCGTAGATCGCGTGTTAAACATTAAGTATTGATTGCGCGATCCACGACATTTTGTATGTAAATTGCCGACACGTGAGATTTTTATTAAAATTGTATTATTTATTTATATTCATATAAAATTTTTAGCATTTTTAAAGATCCGGTGAATTCTTTAAAATGGTTGCTAGTTATTTTTTTATTCAATACTTTCTTTGAATTTTTTTCTTCAGTTTGCTTTCAACATTTTATAAAAAAAAAACAGGACAAAAAATTACACAAACAATGAAGCAAAACTATTTTTTGACATATATGTTATAAAAGCTCGATTTATTTCGAATAAATACTGACGTGATAATTATTGAACGTGTAGTCATCAATATGGATCACGACCATCACCACTAGACACCCGAGACAAATCCTACTCTTACAATTCAACTTCAACTGACTCCAGAGCAAGATCGAGGAGATAGTGCATTTATAAGCTGAGAGCGTATTTCGATAGCTGCGGTCCAAGAAATCAAGCTAAACAGCAGCTCAGATCTTCCGAGTTGTGCAGGTTTCAACGTTTTACGTAAGGATCGCAAGCGAGATAATGGTGGAGGCCTAGCCTTCATACTGCACAACACTGTGCAATATCGTCTAATCGATAGTGACATCGACCGCAGGGATACTACCCTAGAATGTCAGGGTATAGTTATCCAGACAGGCGATGTCGAGCTTAAGATATTCAATATATAAGTACAACCCCTCAGTTACATGTTGGCCAACAGGATATCACCCGAACACCTGTGTACTACTTCGTGGTGAAAACCATTTGATACTAAACGACTTCCTGCTTGTCAAAAGATCGTAGGGGGATAGAGCTAACGGAATATATAGACGATTCGACATTCCGCACATTGAATGAAGAAGGCCCCACCAGAATTATGGGCACCTGCAATAGCTCGCCAGATATTATCATCGCTAGCGGTGGTCTGATAAATAGCATAACCTGGCGACTTATGTTAACTCTCACATCAGACCATTTGCCCATAATTATCTTGATCGAGAAGAATCCCGACCTTATTTCTGTGAACAATCGCACCTTTGTTAACTTCATCTTCGCCGCACTACCCATTTCAACGACGTCATCGTTGGCGAGCGTTAATTCCGCAAGGTGATCGCTTCTGCTACCGTACTGTTTCAAGGTTAAAATTCCAAGCTGGGAAGAATTAAACAGGGGTTCCGCAGAGTGGTGTCCTCTCCGCGCTACTGTTTAACTTCTACATCTCGAAACTCTCCCAGCCACCAGAGAAAAATTTCCATGACCTCGTACGCGTACTGCAATTAGCTTAGCACTCTTCCGCACTAAATCCACAACGACCATATTCACAAACTGGACGAAGGAGTACAGACTGGATCTAAACATACAGTCGATGGCGTTAAAATTGCGACGGTTGATAACCCTAAAATTCTAGGTGTTACATTTAACAGCCTGTGCTCTTTCACTCCTCACACGATCGCGATAACTGCCAAAGTACGGAGCAGCAACAAAATCCTCAAATCGCTTGCCGACAGCTCATGGGGAAAATACAAAGAAACGTTGCTGGCAGCGTACAAGGCAATCGGTCGACCGGTCTTAAACTACGCTGCACCGTTATGGTCGCCTGGAGTAGTGCGACGTAGAGGAACACAACGAGCTCCTCACCAAGCAGTTTCTGTTGAGATGTTTTCGCAGAAACCACCCGTGCAGTCGTCTGATTGAAGCGGAACCGCCTCCTAGGAACATCAAGAGGTCATTCCTTGATTACGTCGACGACATTGGATAGTACACCGACCAGACTTCGGACGCAACTAACTTCAGACATGCACTGACCGCCATTCACAACGGAGCCATCAATACCTTAACCGATTCCCTCTCAGTGAATGGCGTACTTAGAGTCAAACTACCACCCATAGCAGACGAAGAGCTGGAGTTGCTACAGGAGTCTAGAGTGACCCTTGCGCAACTTCATTCTGGATACTGTAGCAGGTTGAACTCCTACTTATCCAGAATTGAACCCGATCCCAAACGAACTCCCTAATCTAACGCCCTTCTCCTTATGGTTTAGTCCCGTCGAAACAGCACGTTTCCTAGGCCTCCCGATAAATGACCTCGACAACAGCCAAACTGAAACTTGAAACTTATTGAACGTGTGACAGGCGCCATAAATAATAAGGACGGATAAGGAAGCTTAATTTCGGGCGTAACTGAACATTTTTACTCTCGTAGTTATCAAAGATCCAAGCCGGGGGCCTATTTTCAGGTATTGGCAAAAATTTACATTAAACAAGGCAGTTAACTTTGGCTGCGCCGAAGCTATAATACCCTTCACGGTGGATTTCTTCTGGTAACTATATGTACAATACAACTATATATAAATAATAAATTGGAAAACTAAATGGAAAACGTTTTGTTGGTTATTTCTAGCTAAATTGTTTGATATAAAAAATACCTCAAGTTAAATTAAGCTTACTTTATTAAGAAAAAATATCTTTTATGAAATTTCGTGGAGATATCTTATCAAATAAAAAAGTTTTCCACACAAGGATTTGATTGTGATCGAGCAGTTTGTAATGACAGCTACATATATATGTATGTACTTATATGCAAACCGATGTATCGTAATTGACTCAGCTCGTCACTCTGAATAAATGCTCATAGACTTTACTACCTTTCCTTCTAAATCTTTCAAACTTCGTGGTAAACTTAATATGAATATGAATGGATCATATACATATTTGGTATCTAACTTAGACTATAGGCTCCGTACATACCGATATCCATAATTATACCCTGAACAGGGTATATTAAATTTGCCACGAAGTTTGTAACATCCAAAAGTAAACGGCGGAGACCATATAAAGTATATATAAGTATAAATGATCACCGTGACGAGCTGAGTTGATTTAGCCATGTCCGTCCGTCCTTTTCCCCCTGCGGGTAGGGGTAAGAATTTACCCGTGGTAAGGCATGCCTGTCGTAAAAGGCGACTAAAAGCCAAATGCACTATAACTGTTATTTTATTTTGCCCAGAAATATCAGCATAGTAAATGATGTCAGAAATAGTGCTATAATACTCAGCTTGAACTGATATTGTAGACTTTAAATGAGATTCCAAATAAAAAGACATTTGAAGTTCAAGCGACAAATGTCACCAGTCATTGAGTAAGGCGGGGCTCAACTGGCAGTACCTTCGGCTACACAGTCTTACCGGATACTCAACTCTGATACCACGGGGAGCAGAATGCCCTTGGACTTCTGTTCAATCTGCTTATTGGGTTCGGCCCTTTGGGGAGTATTGGTGGCTGTGGTTTAAACCTAAATGCTGGAAGAACTGAATTTCAGTTCGAAAAAAGAAGTTGCACAAGCAACTGGGTTCCGTACCCGAAAACGGAAGAGATTTTAGGTCGGCCTCGAATCTTACCAAGATGGTCGGTGTGCCCCTACACACTGGCCACTGGTAACCAAATTAATACTTGCAAAAAGCTCGTCTTATTTGGGGCGCTTATTAACGCATTGTTTTGATACGTTGTGCTTTGGAGCACCGTGAGGTTAGGCCGTCGACGGCAGGTACTCACGTAAAACACACCGGACGTTGTCCATCCGTCTTCCCCCTGCAGGTAGGGGTAAGAATTTACCAGCGGTAAGGCATTCCTGTCGTAAAAGGCGACTAAAAGCCAAATGCATTATGACTTTTATTTTATTTTGCCCAGAATATCAGCATAGTAAATGATGTCATAAATAGGTTTAAACCTAAATGCTGGAAGAACTGAATTTCAGTTCGAGAAAAGAAGTTGCACAAGCAACTGGGTTCCGTACCCGAAAACGGAAGAGGTTTTAGGACGGCCTCGAATCCTACCAAGATGGTCAGGGGGCCCCTACACACTGGCCACTGATAACCAAATTAATACTTGCAAAAAGTTCGTATTATTTGGGGCGCTTGTCAACGCATTGTTTTGATACGTTATGCTTTGGAGCACCGTGAGGTAAGGCCGTAGACGGCAGGTACTCACGTTAAACACACCGGACGTTGTCCGTCCTTTCGTCCCTCTGTATATACGCGAACTAGTCCCACAGTTTTTGAGATATCGATCTGAAATTTTTAACACGTCTTTTTCTTACGAAGAATCTGCTTATTTGTCGGAACGGTCGATATCGGACCACTATAGCATATAGCTGCCATACAAACTGAACAATCGGAATCAAATGTTTGTATGGAAAACTCTTTCATTTGACAAGGTATCTTCACGAAGTTTAGCATGTATTATTATTTAAGACATCTATTTTATCTCCGAAGAAATTGTTTAGATCGGATGACTATAGCTTATAGCTGCCATACAAACTGAACAATCGGAATGAAGTGCTTGTATGGAAAACTCTTTCATTTAACTAGATATCTAAATTTGGCATGTATTATTATTTAAGGCATTCATTTAATCTCCGAAGAAATTTTATAGATCGGATGACTATAGCATATAGCTGCCATATAACCTTAACGATCGGAATCTAGTGCTTGTATGGAAAACTCTTTCATCTGACGAGATATCTTCACGAAATTCGGTATTGGTTTTTGCAAAAAAAAGGTATGCAATCTCAAAAGAAATTTTATAGATCGATCGGATGACTATAGCATATAGCTGCCATATAACCTGAACGATCGGAATCAAATACTTGCATGGAAAACTTTTTCATTTGGAGAGATATCTTCACGAAATTTGGCATAGGTTATTGCTAGAAGAAGTATTGCAATATGTGAAAAAATTGTACAGATCGAATCACTATAGCATATATCTGCCAGACAAACTGACCGATCGGAATCAAGTGCTTGCATGGAAAAATTGTTCATTAGATACGTTATCTTCACGAAATCCGGCATGGATTTCTCTCAATGGCATATAGCTGCCACACAAAATGACAATCTAAATTAAGTTATTATATGAAAAAAATTGTTTACGAGAAGTTATCTTCACGAAATATGGCATGAATGATGATTGCCCCAGATATCGCTACAATCTTCGAACGAATTGTTCATATCAGACCATAGCTATCATAGAAACGGACCGATCAAAATAAA